TCGCGGTGGGCTGGCTGCGGCGGAGACCCTGCCCCGTCTCGGAGGCTCACCTCCTCCGCTGCTCCAGCTGTGCCTGCTTCTCCCGGAGCTCACGGAGGGCCGCCACGCGACTCTCTTCCAGCCTCCTCGCTTGGATCAAAACTTGATAGGGCGACGAGAGATCAGGTAAGATGCTCCCGAAGGAGGATGTCTTCCTTCTAAAAAGACACGGTGTTTCAGCTGAACACCTAACAAAACTCCAGGACGGTTACTCATATCTACACAAGACACAATGTTACAAAACACACACTTAAAAGATTTAAAAGCAGAGCCTGCAGATCGATTGCTCATCAGAACGATCACAATTACACACCATAGCCGCCCCGACAGAAATCCATAGTATTGATAGGCATTAATTTTTGGAAATGTTATAAAGATGCGTGGATTGCAGCAGGACACTATACCCCAAATGACCACCGTTGAATGCCGCTGCTTGTACAGAAATCTTTAAGGAAAGACTTCCTTAAATTACTGCTACGAAAACAGTCCCAGGGTCAGTCAGTGAATGGGCCTGGACGAAAGCACGGGCTCAGGTGGGCTGCTGTGAACCTGCTCAGCCTAGAGCCAGCGCCCCGTCTGACCTGGANTTAAAAGCAGAGCCTGCAGATCGATTGCTCATCAGAACGATCACAATTACACACCATAGCCACCCCGACAGAAATCCATAGTATTGATATGCATTAATTTTTGGAAATGTTATAAAGATGCGTGGATTGCAGCAGGACACTATACCCCAAATGACCACCATTGAATGCCGCTGCTTGGACAGAAATCTTTAAGGAAAGACTTCCTTAAATTACTGCTACGAAAACAGTCCCAGGGTCAGTCAGTGAATGGGCCTGGACGAAAGCATGGGCTCAGGTGGGCTGCTGTGAACCTGCTCAGCCTAGAGCCAGCGCCCCGTCTGACCTGGATGAGGCACCAGGTCACGGGAAGAGCAGAACAGCAAGGTGGGCCTCGCCAGCCGCTCACTGGGGCTCGGAGAGGCAAAACACCCTGGGGTCCAGGTGTACTGGGCTGTGCTCCACAGAGTCAGAAATCTCACTTCCAGGTGCAGGCGGACTCAGAGGGCAGGGACAGAGAGGCCCATAAGTGGATGCCAGGCCCCTGTGAACACATTCAGGAAGCGTCAGCTACTGGGTCCCTGGCCCAAGGGCAGCCATCAGGATGGCAGAGGGGACAGCCAGTAACATGGGGGGGCCACTCAGTGCCAGGGGTGCCCTCTACTTGTCGGCTCACAGGGAACTGACAGGCATGCCCTGGTGTTTCTCCTTCCAGCGAAAACACCTGCTGAAACATCAAGACAGAAATGGCAGCTCTGAACCCAGGGCCGAGAGCCAACTACGTGCCAGACACGAGGCCTTCTCCCCACGGCCGACCACGGGCACACAACTGGAGGCCCTGCCCAGTCTCTCTCTGAAACTGAACACCCTGCCTAGAGGAGGAAGCTCCCGCCTGTGCCACAGCCTGCCCTGGCTCAAAGCCTCACACTGGCAGCACACCCCAGGCAGCCACGCTTGCACATGAACAGCGGCCACTGGCCCAGCAGGGCAGGGAGGGCAGGCACAGCCTGTATCCCAGGATGGGGTCTCCCGGAGCACCTGCTGGGGGTTGGAGCTTTTAATGCACCACATCTGGAAGCGCAGACGGCTTCAGGATCTCGTGTAGTCAGAGAACTGAGGAGGATGGAGCTCATTAGCGGGAGGCCCTCAGGACGTCAGAATCGGGCTGGGGTAGGGACATCAGTCACACCGAAGCTCGGTGTCTGAAGAATTTAGAAGGCTTTTAAGGGCCGGCCTGTGGCTCACTTGGGAGAATGTGGTGCTGATAACACCAAGGCCACAGGTTCGGATCCCTATATAGGGATGGCCGGTTCACTCACTTGGTGAGCGTGGTGCTGACAACACCGAGCCAAGGGTTAAGATCCCCCTACCAGTCATCTTTTAAAAAAAAAAGGCTTTTAGTCCCTCCCCTAACAAAATTTGGGATTTAGGACCAGACCACTATTAGTCACTGCACACTTTGCATACTACAGGCTTTTCCTGACACCTGCGCCCGTCTCAGAGCTGCTGGACTCAGGCCAGCACCCTGAAGCCTGCCATTCTGCAGCTCTGCTGC